GAGGGCGCGGGCTCCGCTAGGCGCCGACAGGCGGGCGACTGGGATTGGAAGGCACCGCGGCTCCTTCCTCTCCGCGCCCCTTTGTTTTGCTTTGTGGTTCTGAGCTGCTGAACCTCCTGGGAGGTGGGGTCAGAGGCCTCCGGGTCAGCTCTGCAGGGAAGGCCAGGGTGACAGGTCCCAGCCCTGTACTGTGGGCTGTGGTAGGTGCCCAGACTGCGACGGGACCCTCACCCCCTTTTGTCGCCCCCCTCCCAGTAATGTAATAAAAATCTGGGGCTGTATGAGCGGTTGTATTTCCCCTGCACCTCCTGTGAGCACTTGTTAGGGAAAGGAGACTCAGACTCCTCGGCCTGAGATTTAGGATCAGCTCTCTGGTTTCTCCTCCTCCCCACACCTCACCTGGGCTGGGGCTGGGGCTGGGGTGAGGGCTCTGTCAACTCTGGCCCCACCCAGGGGCAAACTGAGGAGGTGCGCAACTCAGGGACTACCCCTTTTCCATTCCCGGTGGCACTTACGGGGGGCTTTACTCCTGCCTTCCCTAGGCACCCCTGCACCCCACAGCTGGAACAGTGTCCCCCTACCCAGTGAGTATTATGGACTGGCCACTGCTAAGTGCCTTGTGCCCTGGCTACCATCTGAGGATAAAGTGGGGGACAGTTGTTATTCCCATTTTCCAGACATGTTCATCAAGGCCCAGAGAGGCTAAGGGCTTCCTTAGGGACACACAACCCTGGGTTAGATCAACCCTCAACTCAGGGGGACCACCTAGAGTTTCTCCAACCTAGCCCAGAACTGTTAGGCTCTCTGTCTCTCATCATGGTACTTTGTTTCTTCGACTTGAGTAGACCTAGGTCTTGAATGTACATAATACATGGGAGGATGTTTTTCTCTGGTTGCTGGCTTGGGGGAGGGTTATGGAGCTCCAGGATGAGGACGAGGAGGAGGTCAGGAGCGTCTCTGCTGGGCCTGTGCTGGGGAACACACACATGCACATGCACACGTCACCCCTAGCCTGGCTGGGTTGGGGCTGGGGCACCCGGCCCCGCCAACCCCTTCTCCCTTCTCCACCAGAGCTCAGGCCTGGCCTGCTTGCTGCCACCCGTCTCTGCGGAGAGGGAAGCCAAAGTGACTGGCACTGTGTTCCCTGTCATTGTCCCACTGCCCTTTGACCCGCGGTGGTGCCCTGCTGCAGCTGGTGGAGAGCTTGGTCTCAGCTCTGCTGCTCCACCCTGTGACCTTAGGCAGGTTATTTCCCTGGCGGGCTAGGTCTTCTCATCTGCATGTGGGATAATTATAGTTCCTTTACCTGACCTTGAGGAGAGTGAAGGCATTATCCGGATGTGTGATTTATGCTCCTGGTCAGCAGGCAGGACATGGATGCCTGTGGGCAGGGGTGGGGGAGAATCGTGGGGTGCTCAGGTGAGGTTGAGAAGCCTCCACAGGACTCCCTGTGGCATCTCCATTCCGGCACTGGAGTGGAGGGAGAGGGCCGGCCGTAAGAAGGCTGAGGCCATCCTTCAGATGGACGCACTGAGACCAGAGGAATGCGTCCTGGCGTCCTGGCCGAGCAGGATGAGCAGGACTCCGGGCCATGCTGCAGGGCCCGTGGAGGGGACTCCACATCTGTCAACAACTGGGGAGGTGTTGTCTCATGGGCCCTGATCCCAGGGGCTTTGAGGGGGCCCCTGCTCCCCTGTGACATGACAGGCACGAGTAATACAACCCCTGGGGTAGGGCAGAGGATGGCTGGGGGGAGCTGGTCTTTGGGGGAGGTGGGAGAAGCCTAAGGCCTGCTGACTTTCTTCTCAGAGGCCTCCCCCATCTTCTCTTGGGATGTGGGGTCTGCCTTGAGGCTACAGGAGAGGGGGTCAGTGCCAGGCCTTGGGGCCCTTGGTGGGGAGGGGAGATCTGAGGGCGTGGGGGGTCCTTAGCCCCAGGACTAGCTCCCAGCCTTCCCTGAACCCCCACTCCCCAGGCTGCCTTGGCTCCCTGTCTCAAGAATGTGGAGGGCTGCTGGTGGGGGAAGCTAATTGGAAACAGGAAAACATGGCATTCCTTTCCCCGGCTGGGCTGGGGGGTGAGGGGCTGCCACTTCCCTCTCCCACCCTGCAGGGCCAGGGTGAGGGCCAGGGGCAGGGGGCGCTTATCTTGTCCTGACCCTTTGGGCCCTCCTCCCCCTACCAGGCTCCCTCACTCTTAGGGGAACAGGCAGAGCTGCAAGCCAAGCATCTGCCCTGAAAACTGTCCTCTCCTCCCCCAGCAGTGTTGCCCCCACTTCTCCCTCCAGGGTTGCGTCCCCTCTCTTGCCCGAGCTCCCCACCACCACCGTGGCAGAGGATGCACCACCACGCCAGAGCTGCAGGGCCAGTGGTTGGTTGAGTGGTCCCCAGGGGTCCCCTTGGATTCTTCCCTAGCAGTCTCCCCAGCCTGCTGCACCCCCATCCGAGTCAGAGTCCTCGGTGACCGAAGCCTTTGTGTCTCTGTGACATGCAAGTCCCCCTGATGGAGTCGGGGCTTTCTGAGGCATTTCTGGGTTGGTTACAATTAGTTTTGTGCGTGAAGTGCCTGTGCTCCTGGGTGGGGGTGGCTGTTGGCAGGGGAAGCAGTGAGTGCCTTCGCTTCTTGCATTGTTCCCCACTCACCTTCCCCAGGGCCTACTGTGTGCCCGGGCCCTGGGAATCAGCCGTGGTCTCGCGACCCAGTCCATCAGGAAGAGGAGGAGGAGGAGAGAAGGGTGGATCTGCTGCTGTGGGATTTGATCAGTTCCATCTGGGTGGCCTGAGAAGTCTCCAAGGAAGAAGCCTCTCTGGCTCTCATTTTTCTGAGTGCTACATGCACACGGGGCAATTCAGATACATAAAGTGTTGTCCCCCATGCTGGTTCCCCAGCTGTCCTCTCCAGGGACAGCGCCTCAGTTCTGGGGCTCTGTGTGTACACATTTATCTGAGGCTGTCTGTGTTCTGGAGTCCCTGTTTTCCAGATGGTAGCATGCTTTCCTGTTTGGCCTCTCCTGTCCCTGGGAGACCTTTGCAGATGGGTCTTCTTCTGTCCTTTTCTTGGCTTCATGTTATTCCGCCGAGGCACAGTCTTCATTT